AGAATACCTAATTAGGAGGCCTTAACAAATTGTTTATTTGTAAACACTGCCTCGTTGGCCGAGTGGTCGCAAGTGCAACTGCCGGGCAAGGGGTCTCGGGTTCGATTCCCGGGTCGGGCAAAGTATTACCGAGTGTTTTTTAATTCTTAACTCGTCGAGTACCGACATTATAGACACAATTATAAAACAATAGGTTGCGGTCACCGGTGACCGCTTGGTGTTGGACAGTTTAATAGTTTAATAATAACAGCACGTAGTCTGGAATTGTGCCCGATATATGGCCATAAGCTCACCCCCTATTACATGGGACTCATAACATAAATAGTGAAAAGAGGGTGTTACATTGTACAGTGGCAAAATGCACCTCTGCCTACCCCTTCGGGGATAAAAGGCGTGATGCTTTGTTATGTTATATTTATTTGTAAACATTAGATAGATAACTAGTGATGTGACATTATTTGTACATAAACAATGTAGGTAATATAGGACTATCTTAGCAATGTCACGATGATTATGATATTGTTACCGTGGCAATGGTATTGCTACAAAAATGCTAATAACTACAACTACCTATGTAAGAAATGTTAGGTGAAAGAAGTACATGCAGACTTGGGCGGTTGGACCTGAACACGAGTTGCAGTACCTACGTATAAAAATGGCGATCAGACACAGAGAATGACTATGTTCATGATCACCAAGTTCCCTGCAAAGCGTAGGGATTGTGGCCACCGCATTCTTCACGGAAGAGGCCATTCTGCAACAATGGGCTAATGATGATGACGTGGCTCGAGGGTACAGCAACCCGAAGGTAATGTCTACTTAATTAGCATACAGATATATGTACAATACAAAATAAAACTTGTTTATGAATTGTGCTGTATTTCGACATTTTATTATTAAATTATTATGATTATTGTATCTAATAATTGAATTCCTTGACATCTTACATTGTGACTACTGAACTACCTACTTAATTACTTATGACTTTTATCTATCGACATTTATAAAAATCAATGACATTTTATATTATAAAGTAGGTGGTCCAGATATTTAATAAACTAGATAGTACTATATAAAATCAGTGTTTTTGGTAAAATATGAAATGTGATGCTATTATTATTATTTCTACTCCGGAGACGGTTATGTATGTGAAACTGCTGTATTGTTAAGATCTGTGTGTACCATATACTGAGAAATAAACGATATTATAGTATAATGATTTGGATTCGTGGATTTCCACAAAGTAATACGTAGGTATAGTATGTTTCTATAAGTATGTATACCCATGTAATAAATAACAGAGCTAACAAAGGACATTCAACCCATAATTATTTTTAAGGAAAATCCAAAACAACCCTTGAAGCCTATTGGTGCCTATTTTGTATAAAGTTCCGACTGTGACCGCAATTAACTCTCGGCGGCGCGTAAACAACGCAAGGGCGGCACGGTTAATCGCCGATTACTCGCTAACCAGTGTACTATGGTCAGAACCTTAGTTCTTAAATCCGATTTGGGTATACGAGACCAGCGTTTTAATGTCAAGGGTCGTCCATATTTTTCGATTCCCGTAAAGATGTCATAAAGTTTCCCTTCAGAGGTAGATAAGAAAGTTATATGGATGGCGCGACCCTTACGGCCGCATCTAACTCTCACTATCCATCACAAGTAATTGCAGCACTTCCTTCAGTGTTCACAAGAAGCATAAATGGGACGACCTGCACGTGACCAGCCCTATCTAGCTATTTATTACGTCCACGTTTTCTCTTAAGGATATCGCACCAAGGTACAGTTTAGCGATCGCATTGCGTAGATAGATACTTCAAACGTGTGTCAAATTACAGAGGTGTTTGCTTTGAAGGATGTGAATATTTACCTACTTCTAAGTAATAGACTGTGAAAGTGTCTGTAGTGTGAATAGGTAGGTAGCGACTTGTTTAATATGAGACCTACGTTTTAGTATTTAGCCTTTAGCATTCTCAATGTTTTAATTAAACAGAGAGCTAGGTAGGTATATCCCACAGAGTATTTAAACTCTATAATCTCACCACCTACTTATACACAGATTTTATACACTTAACTCGTCGAGTACCGGTTTTGTAGACACAATTATAGAACAATAGGTTGCGGTCACCGGTGACCGCTTGGTGTTTGACAGTTTAAAGTAAAATTACATCATATTTTATTAAGACCATTCCTTTTTTCGTCAATCATTATTTATGAATAACCAAAATACTTCTGTAGGTAAGTGCTTATCGACACCTAAGTCACACCTACAACATTCAACCCTGAACGAAACTATCACGTTGAATGTTTGTATAAATACTTTATGCTACTCTTTAGATAGACCCCACGTAGGGTAAGATACCTATCTACCCCTCACTTTTACTGCCATGTGTCTACTTTACGACCTTTCATTGTGTGGAAACTATTAAGTACCACAATAACATTTTTCACCTTTCAAAGAAATTGACCAAGAACTAGGTTACCGGATAATTTAAAAGCTACCAGCGTTTATATTCTGAATACCTACCTACATTACAATAAAATTTGACTGACCACTAAGTTCTTTTATTCTCATAGTGGCGAAAAACTGACAACTGTTTCTTGTTTTTTGTACCTACATGGGAATAAAAGGGCAGGTACGTTATACTACTGCTACTTTTAGTTATTAATCGGCATCGGCTGAAAGTCAACGGTTCATTTTAAATTCCTCCTAGGTAACTTCATCTTCTGTTGTAAGTATACTAACATTCATACCATCCTTAGCTATAATCGTAGATTTATTTTGTGTATTCAAATAAATTTTATGCGCAGTACCTATACATATGTGCTAGTATCTATTTTTATAATAATATGCCTTCATAGTGCATGATAGTATTATCTAGCTCTAGACTGTCCAAACTATATACCCTCGCGGGCTAATTTAACTTCTTACAACAGCTGGGGCGCCTGAAATATGTTTTCACTTGTATAATGACATTGAATATTATATTTTTTACTCACAGACAAAACTTGTAGACAAATCATACACTGAATTTTATTATTGTTATTGCACATAAGATGAAGATGTTGAGGTAACTTATGTCGCGCGGGCCACATGAAAACAACGGGCCATTGTTTGGACAGCCCAAGGTGCTTACTCTCGAAACCAATCTCAATGTTAATGCAAATAATTATAATCCAATGAAAACTCAATAATAAATATTGTCAAAACTATACAACCGTATATAAATCGTAGCTGATAAACTAGCATTCAGAGTACGGAATATAAAACCAAACTCAATACCATTTAGTTCATTAAATACCCACGCAATGCGGATGCAATAGGCGCTAATGTTTAAACTCAAGAATACGAAATTTCACATACCAATGTCGATCGATTGGAATTGTATTCAGGAATAAGCCTACTGATCTAGCTACAGTACAATTTAAATTAATTTCATACTGATGAAAAATAATTTGTAATCGGCAATGTGACTAGTGGCGCCATCTGTGAGGAAATACCAATAGTAGATGTGATTTCACTTCCTCTCAAAATGTGGTCTATAAAGTGCTGCTCTATTTTCCTTCCTTTTACAACAAGTACCCACATTCTCTAATGAATATAGATAATTATCTGTCGTCGGCCGTATTTCCGAACCGATACGACCTTCAATCCTTCAAGAAAAGAGCGTACTCCTTTTTAAAAGGCCGGCAACGCACCTGTGACTCTTCTGGTGTTGCGGATGGTCATGGGCGGCGCTGATCGCTTACCATCAGGTGATCCATCTACTCGTTCGCCTCCTATTCCATAAAAAAAAAATTGGTATAGATGATAGCAAAGTTGGTCTCTTGTTTAGAGTACATCAGCTGAAGTAACATCGTCATAGTAAGTAATTTGTAGTGATAAAAGATAATTATATATGTGTCATAATTATAATAGTGGACGTTTACTTCTGGATATTGGGATAAATTGACAATAACATATAATTATAAATATAATACACCATTACTCAGGCATTGATTTAATAAAATAACATCAAAACAAAACTAACTAATTACAATTATAGCTTAAATTAGTCTCTAAGTGTACATAATGACTGAAAATATAAGTATTTCACATATTTAGTCTTTCTGAAGATCCTTCAGATAACAGTTCCTTTTCAGCAGCTTCCTTTGATGCCTGTATCTGAGGTCGTACATACTTGAAGTACTTATAAAAATGGTCACCTAGCAGCACTGTTCCATACAAAGTTAGGCCCACACAGACTAACACACCGCCTTTGTGCAGTTTGTCATATAAAACATTGCGAGCATACTTTTTCATATTTCCTGTAATAAAAACAAATTCTATATACATATAATCAGAACTAGAAAATAATTTGAAATTATTATCATTTTCAAAATATGATGGGACATTATAATCATAACTTATGAAAAACAAATTTTGGAATTTTGTATATTCTATGTAAACACAGATTCAATCTGAATAGGATTATGAAAACCTTGGCGTTTCCATTCATAACATGATCATGAACCTGATGAAAACAGAGAAATATTACATTACATCAGAAATAATTCAGTTTCTTTTTTTCATAAGCAACTAAGAACTAAATAATAGGGTCAAGAATTTTAATAAAAATATACATATACCTGTTTGATATTCAATTAATCAATAAAGATAAGTAAATTCCAAATAGAATTCTTTATTTTCCTACTTTTTCTGCTAAATTGAGGTTATGAATATGTTGACAATGTTAAATGACAGTAACCTTTGTGACAGCGCATTGACAATGACAATAACAATTCGTTTAAAAACTTTATTTCTTGGTAAATGAAGTGTTTCAATATTTCTCAATAGTTTTAAAGTTAATAGAAGGAATCATAAAGAGAACTTAATAATTTACAAAGGCAAGGTAAGGGAAGGTAATGGAGTCCAAAGTGAGTGTTTTAAAACCTCAGCTGATCATGACATTTAAAAGACGTTTTGACGATTTCTCGTTTTCCTATTTTTCTTTCTTTAAATGACATTTGACTTTTACACAATGTGTGACATACATGGAAATTGTTGAAAATTCCTTGGTAAAGTAATCTATTAATTTCTGATCTGACATCGTTTTTAAAAGGTTAAAAATACAAATAGGAACATTTTAAACATCTCATACAAGTATGATATTAAATATAGTTAAAAGAACTTCCAGGACTTCCTTGAATTTTATTCAGATTGCCTGTAGGAACTTAAATTCCAAAATACCAGTATTACCTGTCCCATCTCTGACTAATGAATTTACTTCTACTGTTAAAATAGAAAGAAATACAATTGCACTGTTAGAGCGACTTTCTTTAGTGAGTTTTGACACTGACGAAGGGCTAAACATTTTAGAAGACTCCATTGCTTTTGCTGACAAGATCCTGCATATTGATACCGACAATGTCGAACCCTTATATTCAGTTCTTGAGGACCAGTAAGTACCTACAAAATTAAATAATTATATATACTTACTAACACAACTATTTATTTTAATAATAAATGTGTCTAATATTATTTTCTAGGACCTTAATTCTCAGGGAAGATAAAGTAACACAAGGAAATTGTCAAAAAGAAATACTTAAAAATGCAGCAGTGACCGAAGATGACTATTTCGTTGCACCCATAGGCAATATACCTTTACATGAAGTTGAAGTTCAGACAGAGTCCACAAAACTAAAACAAAATGAAAATTGAAGTAGAGAGGCTGGCGCAAATGAGACATTTCTTTAACATCCTCCAAATAAGTGATAAAAGTGTCAAAATTACTCTGAATAAACCTAGCAAATTACTAATGAAAAACATTCACACGAACTGGTTAAAATATAATCATGTAAAGGCTGATAAACATCAAATGCCAGTATTTTTAAATTATCGAAGTCCGAATATAGCATATGTTCCATCTGTGTATGGTGTAATAAAGCAAGATATACAAAACTACACTAAAGATATGGTATTAGAAATGGACTTGAATACTGGTAATCCATTGAAGAAATCTATGTTGAGATTAGATTTATTTATACCCCAGGAAGAAGCTATGCAATACCTCATACAATGGCAGAGATACAGAAAGTACTGGTGGAGTAGTGTGAGTTTCAATTATTTTTGTTAATCTAGCTTTAAAATAATATTAAAAATAATTATGTTAAAATACTATAAGTACAAAATGTCCACTCACAACCTGGAAAGACAACTTGATAAAAGTCACGGAGCTGCTGTATGAACATCGTCCAGCCTATCTGGAAATCATTAGAGGAAGCCTATGCCTTGTGACTGATATAAGTACTATTAGTTGAATTTGATCCCAAATATGCAATGATTATAAAAGGTTCATGATCCAATATTAATTTTCTCCGAACATATCTTTCAGATATCAACAACGCCAAGTTTATTCTGTGTAAATGATTTCAACTATCAAAATAATACTGCACATGTTGAAATAGTTGCACAATTTCCAAATGGACATCAGACTGTGGAAAGCCTGTCTTGTGAAACTCACCCAAATGTAAGATATTTATTTACGCAATATAACACCAACCACCCAACCAATTAACTAATTAATAAATTTACGAACCTAAACTATGTCTAATTCGGTAAGGTTGAAATTAGTGTGCCACTTATTTAGATGCACACACCTGTCACTGGCATAACATTCATACAAGTTTTTTCTCTGTACAACAAATTCATATAAAATTCTTTTACAGCACAAGTATGGCCAGTTATCATGTACTTTGTGTCTAGAAAATGCATTACTAGTTCTTCTACTGGATGGATTGAGTAACAGTCAAAAGGATGAGTATTTAAGACTCCACAGGAAGATAGCACCATTTAAAGTTTCTATCGCTTTAAAATTGGACAAAGAAAGTAAGAACTGAATATTTGTTTTTATAATAAATAACGTGAGATACTTAATTTACTAAAAGTCGCGGGTTACTCACGTAAACATACTGAGGAAAGCTCTACTGGTTTCGAAGCACAGAGGTTGCGGCTAGGCTAGTAGGCTACGCGACCGCACACGCTGCTCATGAGGAAGTACAGTACAGCTTTTCTCAGTATTTTCTCGTGAGTAACCCGCGAGTTTTAGTTAATTGAATATTTATTTAAATTTTATAACTGGCTATCCTTGTTATTGTTCTCAAATAATTTTTTTTTTTTCGTTTTCAGAGGAAATGGACAATATTTCTTTGCATAAAATGGCTACTCTTCTACACTATAAACTGCTATCAAACAACATCTCAACATGGTTACCTGATCACTCACTTCCATTGGATTTACAGGTGATCAATAGGAAACATAAACTATAGTTCTATTAATAAATTATTCAGAATTTCAATGAAGTATAATGTTATATTTCCAGATCAAAGAAAATTGTCAAATGGGTGTCACCTACACAGGAATTTTGGAAGAAGAAACATTAAAATTTGGTTTTTTAAAATTAATGAGCAATAGTACAAAACTCACGGTACTTATGTCCTGGACTTTTTACTATACATCAATATTTTCCTAATACTTCTATATTATACTATGGGAACAATCTGTAACTAGTTAAAATTACAAAGATAAATTACGACAAGTTTACTTCTGCCTATCCTTCATAAAATAAACAAACTTAATCTATAATACTCATCTATTTTGTTTTTCAGGAACAAGTGCATCTAAAAGATTTTTGCAAGTATGCATCGTTAAAATTCCGTGACAAATAATATAGAATCTGCAGAGCAATTAGTATGAAGGAATAAACTTTTTAAAACCAAATGTTGTTTCTTTTCTAAACATTACAAATCATTAATTCCTAAGCCCTATCACGTTCTCTTTACTCATTTTACTATTATATTACTACTATATATTATATTTTTATTGGCCTAGGAGACTGTGCAGTTTACCTACATACTTTATGTAAATATTTTTCTTTTATGCAGTCCACTGTTGATTGCATTATTTACGGCTTACTTAATAATCGCATAAAACAATCGTTATGCTAACATGCTTCTCTTCCATTATGATAAAGAGAAATAGTATATGGATACCTACCTAACATAGGTACACCATGAAATTTAATCAATCATATCAGTAGTACCTACCTACTAATAGGTACTACTAAGCCTAGTCTAATCATACTTTTACAAGAAATTATCTACGAATTACCTAATCAAATAAATCAGTTCGTATGTTGGAAATAGTTTTCACTGAGGGGTGGGTATTTTTTTTTTAAGGGGGGAAAATCATCGAATGACTGCTCCCGCCTGGGTGCGGCGGGAGGGAGTGTCAGACTCTTACTGACTAAAAACCACCCCGTTCCTTCTCCTGCACGTCGAGCCGGAGCCCCGGTTACCCGTTAGGTTCTCCGCGACTCCGAATCGGCATCGGCCCTATTGGGCCCCATCTGTGGTGGTCTGATGGCTCTTTGAGGCGCGCGCGGAACGCGACGCGCCGTACGCTCGGGTCTGTTTCTGGTCGGACGGGGAGCCACCCATGCTCGCCGTCCGCAGGCCCGCGCTTACGGTGGCCGGAGATCGTCCCGCGATCCCCGACGCCCGGTGTGTCCTTCGCGATGGCTGGGTTGCGAGGAGGCAGCGCTTCGCTGCCTCACGCGTCCCGCCTCCTCCTTAGCTAGCATGACTGCTTCGCAAAAGGAGGAGACGGCATCCCAATCCCCCTCGCTCCGCATCATGGCCTGCACTAGGCCCGGACGCGAGAGGTCGCCATCGCCGATCACTTCCCTGAGGACACGGCGGTGCTCAGCCCACGAAGGGCATTCTCCCACCGTGTGTTCCACCGTGTCCTCAGGGCGGTCCTCGCAGTGATGACACCCGGGCGTTTCCTCCCGCCCCATCAGACACAGGTACCTCCCGAAACTGCCATGTCCGGTGAGGACCTGCGTCAGGCGGTAGGTGAGGACGCCGTAGCGTCTCTCAACACTCCCACTCCTCAAAGAGGGGACTTACCGCTGCGGTGGCAGCGAGCCCAGAGGGGTGGGTATACAACGTGTAATTAATGTGTTGCAAATAAGGAATACACTGTAACCCGAATTTATTTTTGATAGGTACCAGATTGCACTTTTGTTGGTGCTGAGATTGGGCGAGCGGCCGCTGCGCAACGTGTTCCAGGTTTAATTTCCTTATGGAACCATACTTTGTGTGATCCAGGCCCTAATCAATCTAAATCACCCCGGATTTTAGGGTGATTTATGTACCTACCTACCTCTTTGAATTTGTATGTCTGTGTAGGTAGGTATACCTATAAAACAGCCAAGTGTCACTAATTATGGGAAACTAAAATAGGTTTAAAAACATCTAAATATCACCAGTAATAGGGTTACCGGGGCTCCGGCTCGAAGTGCAGGAGAAGGAACGGGGTGGCTTTTAGTCAGTAAGAGTCTGACACTCCCTCCCGCCTCACCCAGGCGGAAGCAGTCGCTCGATGATTTTCCCCCTTAAAAAAAATAGATACCTAATTTATTTGCAGGAACGCTTATTTATCTCTTAACCAGTCTGTTTTAAAAAGATACATGCATAAATAGCCGAATAACTGAATATATATAGAGCTGTATGCCTGTTTATGTAATCTTAATTTTAGTTCAATGACCTTCCGTTTGACGATAACATAAATTCGAAAACATCAGTGCCTCATTGGTCTAATACGCTCACAAGTGCAACTGTCGAGCAAGTAGTCTCGGGTGTTGTGGCGAGAGCTCATGATTTTCGGAGTTTACTGGAGTTTACTCTGAATCTGGAATTGTGCTTAGTGTATGGCAGAAATCTCACTTCTAATTACCTACCGTAGATACTTAAGTTTTGAAAGGTCATGTTAAATTGTAGACATCAGAGGTGTACATCTACAATTTAACAATCTACCGTTCAGGAATTTTGGTGACGTCGTGCATGTAGGTAGATCCGTTATAATGTTATAATAGGCACGGACGTAAAGTGACCGTGGCACAGTACCTATAATTTATGATTCGTTACTTCAGTAGTTGTAAACTTTTGTAGTGTGTAGGTAGTTCGTTTGACTTTGAACATGTTAATGAGTAACCATTTTTCATTGACTATGCTACTCGATAAGTGTTTAGTTAAGAAAACTAGGTATTTATTTTTTAAAACAGATAGTTTGAATATGGTTGTCAGGTACATATTTTGGCATACTTAGTTCAATGCTCAGTTATGGGCCCAAAGTAAACTTTTCTTCACTTCTTTCCTTCGTACTTAAATGCATAATGCAGCCACCAGTCGAAATGTATAAACCATAACTGTTAAAAGAGATTAAAAACATCTCTTCACTTCCAAATTTCATTTATTCATAATTCTTATATATCAAGACATTACAATAGGGTCTTAAGACTAAACTGTATAAAAACGCAATGTTTGATCTAAATCTGTATTGAATTTAGTTACGTTTAAATGACTGAATGTGAACACTAATCATTTAGTGTGTAGAATAATATCGAATGATGTTATAGGAAATAGAGCTACAATATTAAGTAAAATTTTAAATAGAACTACATAAGAAGTAGATTAAAGTCGCATATGAAATGCAGATCTTTAATTTGACAGTTACTTATAGTTCAAATGAAAATAGAAGAAAATTATAATACAATTTATAAAAAATAATAAGATATAATGTAAGTAACAATGAAAAATATATTAAGTGGCATATGGCATGCATGCCTTCTTTCTTGTTGACATAACCAAATGGAGTAAAATAAACAATATTGTACACTT